CCCCGGCCTCCATCACATGCTGTCATCAGGGCTCCATCCTACAAGCGCAGTTTCCAGCCCTTCCCACACATAGCAGCCCACCTGGTCCCTGCACCGGGCCAAGCTTGAAATGAAGGAGCTACTACGACACTGAGATTGGGAACTGGTCCTCTTCACAGATTCTGAACAACAGGCAGCAAAAAAGCAGCTCTGACTTCTTTCTGAGTATCCCAAGAACCCTGATGGGAATATTCAAAAAGTATTGACTTGCAGGGCTGGTGGCACAGTAATGTAATCCTAGCACTCTGGGAGGCTGAGGCAGGAGAGTCAAAAGCTGAGCCCAGCCTGGGCAACTCAGCAATTTAGTGAGACCCTGTCTCAAACAATTAAAAAAGGGCTGGAGATGTAGCTCAATTCAAAGCCCTGGGTTCCATCCCCAGTGCCACAAAACAGAAACCAAAACCAAAATACTTGCCAATGGTCAACCCTGTTCAAAACAGAGACAACCTACAGGCTATAGATCCGCCTTCATCTGCTAGCTATGAAACAATTATATGGAGTCGCCTACCCAGAGAAAAATCCATCTGTCATTTGCAGTTGAATGTTCTCAGCCTGAAAACACAGGCCTTTGTGCATTCTAATGCGCCTACATCTGCATGAGACAAAAGTTCATTTTCAGAGCAGCATGGCGGAGGCCTGTGCACAATTCCAGTTATTGTACAGAAAAGCTACGTGCCTTTTTATGCAAAGAGAAAATAATATATCCAAGATGTCCATGTGGGCGTCTGTCGCGAGCACTGATGCTGTCTGGACTCTCCTAGGAAACAATGGGCATTTGTTGGGATTGCTTAGATTTTGTTACACTACTTTTTCATTTCAAATGGCTTTTAACAAGGTTGGAGAAAGATGAGTTAAATTCCTTATTTTAAATAGTTGTCATATATTCTAATTTTACCTAGAGGAAACATTTGGAAGTTTAGTGTAATACTAATATTCTGGCAAGCTAATATGAAGCAAAGAACATAAAATAAATACTTCCACTACTGTGGATTACGAAACAAATACTTATGACAACAGATATCAGTCCTTTTAGGACTGAAGAAATTTCTTGGGCTGGCCAGATAGCTCAGCGGACTAAAGCACCTGCTGCTTAGGCAGAAACAGGGACCAGGGTTCGATCCCCTGCGTGTTGTGCTGACCCTGACACCAGGGTACACTGAGACTGGGTGTGGTGGTGCGCCCCTGTAATCCCAGCCTTGGGAAGCTAAAAACAGGAGAATCACTGAGTTTGATCTGTGTAGAGACCCTGTAGATCCTGTACTAAATACATTTTTTAAAAAAATCACTTCTGTTCCATCACTACTGAACTATACACTAAAAGCAGTTCAAGATGGTTACATTTTTTTTGGTACCAGGGATTAAACTTGGGACTTTGTGCATGCCAGGAAGGTGCTTATGCCACTGGGCCATCCCCCGGCCCCAATAAATCTTGTATGTTATACCACTTTTTTTTTTTTTTCTTTTTTGATACTGGGGATTGAACTCAGGACCCAGTGCTTGCCAGGCAAGTGCTTATTCTATTGAGCTATCTCCCTAGCCTTGTGCCACATGTTTTCAAAAAGCCACTTATCTTTCAAATCTTCAAAATTTGAAGCCATTCATTTGACAAAGTACTTTAAGAGCTATTTGAGAGACCTGGAGGCTTTGTGTTATCGTTTGTGTCTAGTTGTCCCCTCAAAGCCTCTTGCAGTTATGGGGCGGACTTCTAGAGTTTGTGATTAATTCAGGATCCAGTGAGTGCTGCTGGGATTATGGGTGTGAGTGCTATACCCAGCCTGGGGCAGACAGCCTGAATGCAACATGAGACAGACTTGCTCTCTGTTGCCATTGTTGCCACTGCTCTTCCCATTTGCTCTGTTTTGCTGTTTTCCACTGCCATGAACTGCTGCCCTCTGCCACATGCTAACTGCCTTTGGGGCCAGCTGAGTATGGACTAAAACCACCACTAACTGTGAGCTAAATAAACCTTTCCTTCCTTAATTTTGGGTGTTGAGTATTTTGTCCTAGCCACAAGACAAAAGTAACTGAGACAGTTTGTTTCCACATAAACCTGATACTGTATTCACAGCCCCCCCACAGGCTCTACAGAATCTTATCTGCAAGTCATCCTGAGGTTTTAAAACAATTCATTATTCTATAAAGGAGCAAGCCCAATTCTTGGTTAGGGCAAGAACTTTGGACAAGGAGCCCACACCACGTTCAAAGGGCGACTGCTTGATGACAAGATACAACGTGAGGCCTGAAAGCCCATTACATTCTGAAAAGCCCATCACGTTTCCAAAACCACTGGCTCCAGCCCATTTCACCTGTCCAGTTCTAGAAGCAATCACTTTTTTTCATTTTCAAACCTGCTATTCAATTTTTTTTTTTTTTTTTTTTTGTGGAACCGGGGATTGAACTCAGGCCCTTGTGCTTGCCAGGGAAGCACTTATTCTACTGAGCCATCTCCCTGGCCCCGCTATTCAATTCTTCATGCAATATCAACTATCTGCTGGGAGACCAGGATTGAATTTTCAACACCATCAACACACACATGGGATGCTGTTTCTTTCTTTCTTTTTTTTTTTTTTTTTTTTTGGGGGGGGGGATGCTGTTTCTTAAGACTGAGATTCAGATCTTGCTAGAGGTGTGGCTGCAGCCCAGAACATGTCAGAGAATTTCGCTGGACTGTTCATGGTGACAGCCAGGCCAGGCACCAGGAGCACAGCAAGTGGCCTTTGGGGTACGGTGAAGATGACAGATGTCATAGCTTGGGGGTTTTGCAAAGGGGAACAACACAATACAGGACAAATTTTATACGATTACTTCATAATGAATCACCCAAAGAATCATATGCCAAGAGTGCAGGAAATCTGTCCACACACTAAAGACCAAAGACCACCTGAGGGCCTGGATGCCACCGTAATATCCTGCATGAGTCCAGCTAAAGAGCCTATAACAATACCTCCCACAAGTCCAACTGGAGGCTTAGAGTCCATGACAATGCCTCATGCAGGCCTGTTTCACAGACCTGCCCTAGGAAGGCCCAAAGGTAGAAACTAGAAAGTCTGTGCCATTGGGATGAGGGATCTGCACTGGAGCCAGGAAGCCATGCTCATGCTAAGAAGCCAAAGCTCCCCTGAAAAGTTATCAGTCACCCTCAGCAATAGTGAGGTCCCGAGCTCCTCTGAGGATGAGGAAAACTGAGTTCCTATCAGGAAAGCCAACCAACAAGCTTCTCCAGGAGACTCAGCTATGCATGATCTTCCCCTCCAGAGCCAGGAAGTGATGCTCAACGTGAGAACTAGAGCTATCCCAAAATTTACGGTAGCCATTCTCAGTGACAATGAGGTCCTGAGATCCTCCTACAATGACAACAACCAGGTTCACCAGGAAAGCCAGCATGACGAGGTCCTCCAGCTGAATAGCCCAAGAGAACCAGCAGCTTGAACAGCTCCCACAGCTTCTCCAAACAGCTTCCTTAATAGCCTCTAGTTCTGCTTCTTATACTGCTGGCAACAGTCCTCAGGTGGGCCTCCCACACCCAGTACCAGCTAGTTCAGTTCAGCCCAATTGGCAATCCACAATAAGTATTACTGCCAGGTTAATGTGCACAGCTCAGTGGTGGCTGTTGTGTATGGCAGTGCTAATGGCAAGTGAGGTCGCTGGAGACTGGGATTCACTGAGAGTGGTGATAATGAAGTCTCCCTGCCCCAGTAATAAATGGGATATAGCCCTAATACCAGGGAGACAGGTGTAGCAGGGCCAGCAGCAGCCAGGGGGACCCGCCCCCAGGGTAATAAACAGGGAGAGGTGGGTGTGGTTCAGGCAGTCAGTGCTGTCTAGGACTGAGTGTGGTCAGGGGCAGACGCACAAGCAAGAGCAGGTGCCCCACTGCTACCTCATCCTGTACTGCACTAGCTCCTTCCCCTCACCTCACACTGCGCCCTGTGAAGTATAGGATCTCTGCAAGAGTAGACTATCACTCAGGTCATCTGTGTGGACAAGACTCTCATTCTCAACCCTGTCATCAGCTACAATGATCATCAGTACCCGCTCCCCATATTGGCTTGTCTGCTAGTATCGGGGTTCCATGAGTGTCTTTGCTTGGACTCCTTTATTCTCTTCTGTAGTCCGCAGTTCAGGGGAGCTGTCATTTTTTTTTCCCCTTTTCTTTCTAGTGGGAATATACTTTCTATTTCCATTTAGATTTTTTTAGAATGCAGAAAAATGGATTTGAAAGCTTCCTTGAAAGACAACCAAATTTAAAAAATGCACACAACTGATCAACAGTGGAAGATGTAGCAAAGCAACTCATTTGGAAACTTGCAAATACAGAAAAAGAGCATCAAACATTACTCCTGTTTTCCCTAAACAACTTAGCACTAGATAACCACGCAGAAGGGGCAAATGTCTCTACTGTAGCTAACAAATGAAGGAACGGTGGAATCGGCCATTCCACAACCCTTGTTAACCTGGCGGATGCAGGCAATACCAACAGGAATGAGCAAGCCAGTGTGAGACTGGACACTGTACTCCTCCTGGAACACACCCAGTGAAACTCAGGAAGGCTGTACACCCAAAACACACCACAGAAAACACAAAGGGCAGAGCAGTGTGTTCAGTGGCATCAAAGGGATTCCATAAGCAAAATGTAGAGAACTCTATTTGTATTTCTCTAAGAGCACGGGGGTGAGCATAGGCAGGGTGCGGATGAAGCCAAGATTAGGTGAGCTAGTACTTCCACACTGGTTGATAAAATAAGACTCAGATGAGCAGTACAGTGTAGAATAATGTGAGACTGGTAATTCATTTCTAGCTCCTAATTTTTCAGCTTACATATTTAATACCTACAGTTTGAAAGGTTCACATTAGAAAACAAATTTTTATATATATGAATGTAGTGTTATTATTCTGTCAAGATGTAGGTCCATCATGTAAAATAAACCTAGTATTTCATCAAATAAATTTCAAGAAAGCCATTACATTTCAAAATGTTTCCTTTTTATTTAGACATAAAACACATTTATGGCATGCAGGTTAACTTAAAATTATATGGCGTCTTCCCAAGCCAATTACCTCTGAGTGTATTTTCAAGCACTGAAAACAATCTAGCATATTCCACAGGTAGACTCAGACTCTACTGTCACCTCATGTCAAAACTGTTACAAAAAAATTGAGTTATGCACAGTAGTTAGTTTTCTTAAGTTAAGCAAATAACTTAATTGATCACCATGAATAAATATTTTTATTTCATTGAATTTCTCTTCTGAACTATTTATCAATACCATTCAGAGGAACATTAATATATCCAGTCCAAAAAAAAAAAAAAAAAAAGACACTGCAAATTGAAGTAGGTGTCAATACTCTAGATAATCAAGAAATTTCCATTTATAAGAAATGCTGTGTTTAATGACCTATCACAGCAAAAAGAGCAGTTCACCGAAAACAAATTTATGAAATTCTTGGTGTACTTTATGAAAGTTTGAAGTTATAAATAGAAAAGAACCATTAAGATATTTAAAAAATATGTATTCTGAACCACATGCTAGTTACAATCCATTGTTTGTTACACAGCACCGATACCCATAATATATCATAACTATAGAATCAGGTAAGAGGAACAAAAATCATTTCCTTTATGAATATTGCCAAAAACCAAGTTTGTATTTGAAAAAAAAATGTCAATATGGATGTAGCCAAATTTCTCACATTTAGCAAACTATCATCATGGACCCTGTAGCACTTCCTTTGTTAACTGCATTACTTCTATCTTGTTGCAACACACTTTCCTCTCAACTTCTGGAGCTTTCTTTTAGTACCCTAAAAGCAACCCAATCATTTTAAAGGCTGCAGACTACAACAGCAAGAATTTTTGATTGTTAAAAAAATAAATAAATCTTTCAAATCGAACTTATTATAAAAGTGGAAATTACAATAGTTAAGGAAATAGAAAAATAAGCCAATTATGATCTGAGTCTTGTAATTATGGCTCCAAATTTAATAATACAAATATCTGTATATAAAACTTTTCAAAAAGTTAATTCTGCCAGCCAGATCCTAACACAGAACTTTGCAAGTCTCTAAATTGACTGAATAACCTTATAAACCCATTCTCTGCAAACTTCTGCCACAGTTAGTCACCTCCATCACAGATGAAGACACAATGAAATCACTTTCCCTATTATTTTTATAGCTGTCCAAAATAAACTGCCGACGTAGCTTAATCTGAGGAAGAAGTGGCAAAACAGGCACACAGTGCTATTACAAAATTATGAACAATGGCCAAGTGTACTTTACTGTGTACTGTAAAGTACAATGACTTGCATACCACTATTTCTACACTAAATAAAAAAAATTATAGTGTATGACTTAGTGCACGTTAAAAACACATCAAAGATTTCTGACCAAAATTTACCTATGCATTTTAAATTTTACTATGTATCTGTCGTTTCTTTGAATTTTTCTCCATTTTCACAGCTTATAAATTTATATCAGCCAATATAGTAATTATGTTTAATCCCATAATATCTTAATTTTACTATAATAAAAATGACAAATTACTACCTGCCCAACTCTATTAGCTAGCAGGCTCATCAGAATGAAGCAGGGGATTTTTCATTCCATCAAGATATGTTAAGTACAGAATTAGGAAGAGAGATGCAGTTCCTTTTCCAAGCTAACTGAGACTGGCTTCCCATCAGAGTAACTGGGCAACAGGCACGGCATGAGATGACAATCTCATAAGATGACGATCGTCTAATTAGTCTCAAGCCTAGCCAGGCAGCTTTAAGGCTACACACTCAGACAAGTTTCCAGGAGCAAATGCCAAAGGCAATACAAATAATTTTAACCCTGATTTCACTGCAAGGGATTTTAAAATATAGCACTGACCTGATTATTTTGTGGGCATGTAGTGTTGTAAATGGTAACATTTAAGACACTTAAACTAAATGTTCCATTTCCCCTACAAAAAGGAAGACATTTAGTAGGAAAAGAAAAAAGGAAGTAGTAGCTACTAAGTAATTTAAACTGAAATTAAAAAACAAACATATAAACAAAAAGCAAATACAAAAAGCACAGTCCTATAAGGTACAGTCAGCTTGGCACAGTAAAGACTAAAATTAAGACACAAAAGACGACTGTGTAATAAATAGGGCCACAGTTGTAAACTGTCATTTCTCCTCCTAAGACGCCAAAATTGCACTCTAGTTGTGTTGGGAAGCAGCAGAGTTTACAAGAGTGGGTAGGAAACAGCTGTACAGGCCAGGTGTCATTTATACATTTTTTAAAAAGTTATAATTCTACAATCCCAAGGGAGCAGAGGTTACAGTCACTGAATGACTACTGATACTATAACCTCTTCATACTTCAATTGTTTTTCAATACCTGAAAATGAGAGAAACAGAGAAAAACATTTTAGTTTTTAATCTCATGTTTGAGATAATCATTAAAGAAATAAAATATGATAACAGTTTATAAATGGGGCTGGGCAGATAGCTCAGTGACTTAAGTCCCTGCCTGGCATAACAGTTTATAAATGGGGCTGGGCAGATAGCTCAGTGACTTAAGTCCCTGCCTGGCAAGTGCAAGGTCCAGAGTTTGATCCTCAGTACCAAAATAAATAAACAAACAACCAAGAACAAAGAAACCAGTTTATAAACATTTTGGCCAATAGCGTTGACCACTTTCCCCAAAATTAAAAAAAAGGAATTAAATGATTTATCTTCTAAGTAGAACTGTACAAAGAGAACAATGTTTAAAAGGATTTCCATCTTTCATTTGTTTTTCTTTCTTCCCTAATAAAGCTACAGGTAAACTGCATATACAGATATTTATTTTGAAAAGAAAAAATGGTTATACTTTCAATCAAGCGACAGTGCTAAGTGAGAAATCAGACAACTGGCAATTAGTTGCTACACACATGGTAAAAAAGCAGGCGCGGTGTGAAGGAAGAGGGATAAACAAAAGTGTCCATGTTAATAACAGCCATCCATTTTTATTTATTTATTTATTTAACAGGGATTGAACTCAGGACCTGGCAAGCACTTATGTTGCTGAGCTATCTGCCCAGACCCAGACATCCTTATATTAATGTGCCTATTTACCTAAACTTTTATTTAACTCAAGTTGCTCAAAGTACTATATGACAGGAGACCTGACATGTAAAATTAGGATGCGCTGGTACTATTAATATACTGTCATTTTCCCCAAGAATAAATCCAATGTTTTAATTTGTTTGTCTTTTTGAGATAGGGTTTCTGCTATGTTCTGGCTGGCCTTGAACACATTTTGTAGACCAGGTTGGCTTCAAACTAGCATTGATCCTCCTGCCTCAGTCTCACAAGTGCTGGGATTACAGGTGTGTGCCACTACACCCAGCTTTGAAATGTTTTAACATTTAAAAATAATACTAGTTATCACTGCAGAGTGTTTAACTTTTCAACAACTTAGGACTTACTGAATGGTTTTAAGTGCTTTAAAATAAGAACCACTACTCTCCTTTGGACAAGCAATGAACTGAACACACAGATGGGCAGTGTATTTTTGAGGCAAAGTCTCTATGTATTTACCTCAAGCCTTCTTAATGCCAGAATTACAGCTGTGTGCTGCCATGTTTAGCTAACAATTGTATTTTTACATGACTGTTTTCAAGTCTTGATATCCCAGTTTACCTGGGTTCCCTATCTCTCACATGTGCTAAACTGCCATCAGCACACCAGGATTAGCTCAGCTCCATATATGTGTAAGAAATATATAGATATACAGATAGTCTATTTACAAAATTTGAGTGAAAATTTACTGACCAATCCAATTAAGGCAGTTTCTGTATTTCCATCTTAACCACAAAGAATGACCCTCAGCCAGAAAGACCTAGAACAAGGTGCTAGAACTAAGTAACTGATAAGCAACATTCTACCATCAAAGGAATGCAAAGGGTGGGATTACCAAAAATCCATGGGCAATTTAGAAGGCAACAGAGATTACACCCCCTGAGACCTTCAGACAATTTCTGCCAGGAAGATAAGCCCCTGCTCCCTGCTTCTTCGTATAGACACCATTTCTACAGAACCACCACTGAAGTTTTGCTTCTGCTGTCCTTCATGTTTATGAGTCCATGTATTTTCCCATGGCATCTAACAAAGGTCATGATCTGGCCTCTTTGCAAATGAGGTATGCGTTTAAAGTCTACACAGGAATTGTAACCTGAAAACATCATCAGAAACAGATAAACTTCCTATCTACATTCTGAAAAACCGCTTGCCCATGGTAGAAAAGGCAGCTTTCTCCTTAGTTTTGGCAGTACTGGGGACTGAACCCAGGGCCTACAACCCTAGCCTTTAAAAATAAAACTATTTTCATACAGGATCTCACTAAATTGCTCTGTTGCCCATGGTAGGTTTAAATGAACACTCCTGCTCCAGCTTCCTGAGCTCTACATGTCCCAGCTAGTAATGACATACCTTAACTCACCTAATCCTCAAAAAATATTTTCCTTTGATTAATAAAAGGGGTTCAAAATGTTATTAGTCTAAAGGAGAAAAAAACATAGAAACCATTTGTAATGGGCAGGAAACCAACTATTTCCATTTACTGAAGTTCCTGAGTATTAACTATGATACAGTCAAGTACAAAATATTCATGCTAATCTTATCAATGCTTTTCATCTTCATTTAAATATATAAGGAACAGAAGAGACACAGGAAAAGGGACAGAGATGTCACATTAAACAAAGAAGACCAATAAATATACACATAAAAATGTAACTTCATACACAAATGAGATGGAATTCCCCCCCCCCCCTTCTTTTGGTACCAGGAATCAAACTGGGATATTGCACTTGGCAGGCAGATGTTTATGCCATTATATCCTCGACCCTCCGTGTGTGTGTGTGTGTGTGTGTGCATGTGCACACGCAGTACCAGGTATCAAACCCTGAACCTTGTGCTTACCAGGCAGGCACTTAAGCTGCTAGGCTTTCTCCCTGGCTCCCTGAGAAAGCATTTTTCTTTAAGTCTTTGTGTTTTGCTTTTACAATATTAGGCACTGAACCAGAGTCTTTACACTGAGCTACTTTTCCAACATTTTATTAGTAGGGTCCCACTAAGTTGTCCAGCATAGGCTTAAATTTATAATCCACCTGCCTCAGCCTCCCATACTGCAGGGATTAGTCATGTACCACCATGTACAGCTGGCACTATTATAATTTTAAGAACTATTAATAGTTAATGTTGGGACTGGGGAGATGGCAGATGGCTCAGTGGAATAAGCACTTCCCTGGCGAGGCGAGCGCGAGGATCTGAGTTCAATCCCTGGTTCCATTAAAAAAAAAAAAAAAGAGCTAAATATACCATGTTTTTGGGGCTGGTGAGATGGCTCAGTGGTCTAAAGCACCTACTTAGAACAAGCTTAGCAAAGCACAGGGACCTCGGTTCGGTCCCCCAGCACCACATGCCAGCCAGCCCCGCCCCCTGGTGGGCTGGGCTGGCCACACACACACACACACACAAATAAATAAATAAATAAAAATTAAAAAAAGATTTCCCAAAAAAAAAAAAAAAGTTAATGCTGGCAAGGATGAAATAAAAGACAAAAATAACTTAGTCTGCAGTCTAATTTACTGCAGTCTTTCTAAAACCTTAAAAATGATTAAACTTTGTACTACTTTCTAGAAATAATCTAAAAGGTGACGAAATAAAAAACAATGTTTCGGCCAGCCAAACAGTTCAGCAGATTAAAGTGCCTGTAAGCGGGTCTGAGGTACTGGCACTGCCCCTGGGGCACGCTGAGTCCGTAGTTGAGACTGGGCGTGGTGGCATGCACCTGTAATCCCAGCTCTTGGGAGGCTTTAAACAGGCGGAACACTATAAGTAGGATCTAGTAGTGAGACCCTGAACACCCTGTAGACCCTTCCCTAAATACAAAACAAAAAAAAAAAAAGAGAAAGAAAAAAAATGTTTCATACTTTTAAATTTCACTGTGAACGGCTGGCGAGATAGCTCTGCGGACTAAGCACCTGCTTAGGCAAGACAAGGACCAAGGTTCAATTCCTGGCACCACATGCTGTGTGTTAAATTGGCCACTGAGACCAGGTATGGTGGAACACACCTGTAATCTCAGCACTGGGGAGGTTGAAAACAGGAGGATCACTACAAGGCTGAGCTGCGTAGTGAGACTCCGTACCAAATACATTAAAAAGAAATTTCACTGTGGAATTTCAATTTTGGAAAAAGAATTAATACATTTTATTAAACTTCCAGTAAAAGAAAATTTGTAAAACATGATCTATTCATTAGTCAGAATATCAAGAATTATTAAGAATAATCTAATGCTGGATTAAAAAATACAACTATGAGTATGAAGCATGAGCTGAGCCATGTAAAGAAATTATGCTAAAGTAGCTTTATAAAAGTATATTCATTAAAAAAAAATCATGACACTAATATGAGAATCAAAATACTCCAAAAGGTCATTTGACAGCTAATGGCTCAACATTTTCATGTATAGGTAGCACCCTTTAAAAGTCAGACACGAAGTACTAACCTGTGAATATGCAGACATGTTTACATCTGTTTGCCTCCACCACCTCGCAGTGCTACTGGCTGGCTATTCTGGACAAATGCTCCTCCTCCACGAATCGCACTTGGATGAGTTGGGGAAGCTGCTGGATGTTGCCCAGGACGAATAGGTTTAGCTAATATAAAAAATAATGTCTGAATTAGAATAAAGTATGGCATACAACTCCAATGACTGTTCTGGTCTTTTTTTTTTTTTTTTTTTTTTTTAGGGGAACCAGGCTCACTACATAGTTCAGGCTGGCCTTGAACTCATGGTGATCTTGCCACAGTGCTGGGATTACAGGTGCGTGTCACCAGGGCCAGCCTGGGTGCTTTAGCTATTCTCTCTTCCTTTCTAATAGTTTCTGCGATTCGGTAAGTTAGGAATGAAAGCCAGCCAAATTCCAAGACAAAAAATAATTCAAATAATGCTCCCAATTAAAGGAAAGTGTTCAATCTAAGCATGTCTTAAAGATTCTGGCATCCCCTTACTAACCAATCTGTGCAGAATGTCCTCTTCTAGCCATGTTCTTTGACCTGACTGCTTCCTTTATGCGGTCTACTTCTTGCTGATAGCGTTTTCGATCACGAGATGCATTTTCTTTGGCTTCTTTCAGTGCTGACTCCAAAGCTTTCACTCTCTCGGCTGTAGCTCGAAGTCGCTTCTCTAACTTAGGAAGTTCACAACGAAGATCTGCATTGTCACGTACCAACTGGAGGTACACAAAGAAAACGGGTTTCTGCTTTAAGTACCAGCATCATACTTTGTCTATTACGTGTTTCCTACTTAACTAGGTCAGGCAATAACATGCAAGAACACACACATTCATACATACATTTCACATGAAGGTAAGACTATTTTAGAGGAGCAGACTCGGTGGTTCTTTATCTCTGCTAAGCAAAGACAATGTGCATGATGCTTTCTTTAATAAAAAGGCTAATCTGGTGAAATGAGTATCCTCTTAGGCAAATTAAGAGCACAAATAGCATAAGATTGGCAAGCCCCTTAATAAGTGAAAAGCTAAGGGATGCTGAGGCATGAGCATTACTTCTTAAAAAAAAGAATCCTGCATTTAACTTATATTTCTGAGAATGGGGCATTTTATTTTTTTCCCTTGAACATTTTTATTTTTTTTCCATAATTTTATTGGGAGACAAATAGCAATGAGACAGTTTCAAATCAAATTGGTAGAACAGTTTCAACAATTAACACATTGCATACTCTCTTCCTAGTGGTTATTTGCTGTACAAGATGCAAACATGATATCCAATTTAGAAACACTATTAGCAAAATCCCTCTATTCATTAAGCGAATGTAACTATATATCTATCCTAACCATTTTGAATACACAGATACAAAATGGACATTCATCTATATCCCTTTTTTGTTTAGTTCTGTCACTTGAATATTATAGGTGTGTTAACTCAGCAAAATATTCTAAAAGAGTCCTGTAGTCCATAAAAGTATTGGGTCTTCCGCTGGAACTGGCAGTGTCAGAAGTTGTTGACCTGAGTCCCCTACAGCTCAACATAACAGCATGACTTTACTTCTTATACTTCATTTTTATACTTCTCTGCTGCATGGTTAAGACCAAGATAAAGCAAGACCTATGTAACCAGAGTTGTAGCTTTTGGATCTGAAAAGGTCAGTTAAATCCCCTCAGGATTTATCCTGAGATCCTGTACCTCAGATTGTAGATCCTTTGTCAGTGTCAGCCATGTGGATGAGTCATGGCCATTGCTTGGCCAATGTACTCTCTGTGAAAGCCTGAGAGAATGTTTTCTCTCCATGTGACTCTCCTTAGGCACACTCTACATCATCCATCACTTTGCTCTTTGGCCCCATAATCTCCTTGATCAGAAAATTTGGGACACTACCGAGTTACATGATGTTACAGTACAAGTTCTCATATGTCCTGAGTCTTAATTGACCTTGGAAGGCTAGGGCCAAAATGTTGGCTTTCCTTGCGGCCCTACTTTTTCTCTAATTTTGGTCTGCAATCTTAGGATGTTAACCCTCCAGAAGAGAAGCTTATTGTTATTACCATACAACGTAGGCTGTTAAGCTTAACCTCACTATCTGTCTGAATATCAAACATCTTAGGCATAACATGGGAGAATGAGGCATTTTAATGTAAAAGGACCAAAAAGATTATATATTAACTTCAAAAAGCTATCAAAATAAGAAAAACTTGACAGCCCTGAATTTCTACAGAGAAAGTAAGAATACATGTTCTCATTGATAATACAGATGTTAAAAACATCAATTCCCCTAAAACTAGGTGGTTTCTTTTCATATTTACTTAATGAAATGGCTCAGGAGATAAAAATCTCTTAAGACTCTAAAGATAAAAAATCTTTCTACTCCTTTTTTATTCTTACAATGCTGCAGATACCACAAAACCTGCTCTTTATTACCTGCTTGTGCACCTTGGTGAGCTGCTCAAGATTATTTTCAAGGAATGAGATCTTCTGCTTCTGAGCAGCACTGCCTCCAGTATCATCAGAATCAATCTCAGCACTCTGAGAGAAGGAAAATGTTAATTATTAGCAAAAACAAAAAAACTAAGCTTAGTGACAAACACTGACATGATTATTTGTATTGAATACAAATAATCACATGTCTCAACACTGTTACCTTTTTAACTCTGGTGGCCAAGTCCTGAACAAAGAGCTTGCGCAGATTGTGCAAAGTCTGAAGTTCTTTTGCCTTTAATTCAGAACAGAAATATTTTTAGAATTCAGTTTTTAAACAGCATTTGCAGGGTAAGTGAAAACCCCACAAAATACTTCCACCACTAGTATTAATTTTCAAAATTTTTCTTACCACTGTCTCTTCCAAACCCTTCAAATCTTGCCGTGCTTGTTCTCGTCTATCTTGCATAACCCTAGGAGTGGAAGGACATACATACACATATTTTCATTTTGATGCTATAAATTCTAGTTTTCTGTCACAAGAGCTGAATCAAAGTGTTTTATCTGGAAGGATTAATTACTAAGTTAAAATGAGAAAGATACAATTTTCTTTTAAATGTACAGCTGATGTAACAACACCAAGCAAGAGATGAAATAAAATGTGACAATTCAGAAAGAAAGAAATGACTCAAAATTTTACTTTAGGGGCTGGGGAGATAGCTCAGTGGAATAAGTGCTTGCCTGGCAAACACAGGGTCCTGAGTTCAACCCCTAGTACCATCAAAAATAAATAAACTAATTAATTAAAAACGTGCCACAGGGTGGGCGAGATAGCTCAGTGGACTAAGTGCCTGCTTAGGTAAGTGCAGGGACCGGGGTTCTCCCTGGCACCACGTGCCACACTGGCCCCGCCCCCAGGTGGTACACATCTGTAATCCCAGTGCTGGGGAGGCTGAAAACAGGAGGATTCCCTAGGAGTCCAAGGTGTGTAGCAAGATCTTGTACCAAATACATAAAAAATTAAATATGCCACAAATGCCAGCACACCACCATTTATGCAAAATGCTTTCATTAATTGGGAATTAAAGGTAGTGAATTGTTAAAGACTAATATTTTTACATGGAAATTATTCTAAATAAAATTTTGGCTGCAATTCAGAAGAATCTTTATAAAACCAACTCCAAACTGGTCCTGATCTATATTATCCTTTTATTTTTACTACTTCATTTGCAAACTGTCTCTTACATATTCAAGGTGTGGACAATTTTAACCATGAGTTTTCTACCTAATCATATTCTTGAAAAGAGAATTAGCAAATGAGAAAAAGGAAGTAAAAATTCAGTCTGAAAAGACAAAGCAAGACCGTAATTTTCTTTTATAAATAATTAAACCTGAAAAAGTTAGGTTTTGTGGCATATACTGCCGTTTTCTAAATTACTTAATGTCACCTTTTAGGTTCACTTTTATGATTGTTCCTGAGGTAAGGTAACAAAGAAACAGGAAGCACATTTATAAATAAGAATCTAAACCTAACAGCTAGGGGTAGTGGTGCATACCTATAATCCCAGAACTCAGGTGGCTGATGCAGGAGGATGGGCATGAATGTAAGGCCAGCCTCAGCTATGTAAGTGAATTTAAGACCAGCCTGAAATACACAGTGACACCCTGTCTCAAACAACAACAAAAATAAATAACAAATTTACACTTCAGCCACCACTGAGGTATGAGACCTGCTTTCCTGAAAGCATAAATATGTGCATAGTTTTTAATCTCCAGTCTTTAGAAGTAAATCAACTCACAAAACTGATATGCCCAAGGGGAATGCCTTGAACCCTCTAATATATACAATTTTTATTTTTAAACTTTAATTAAAACAATTACTCACGTAAGCTCATGTAGTTTTCTGCTCTTTTCCTGATCTGTAACTTTTAATTTTTCATGTTCTACTCTTAGACGTTCTTGCTCTAACATCATTTTCTGATTTTGGCTGACAAGAAAACAAAAACAAAAACAAAACAAAACAAACAAAAAAAAACAACAAAAAGTGTAAGTCTGGGTTAACTTGCGAGTTTTTTGAGTATCACATCAAAATAGGTTCACAAATACATGAAAGTACTACATTCCACCTTATAATTTCAAATACCCAAGGCTTCCTCTGTTACAGCCATGCAATATTCTTCATATTCTGATTTGAAACAATGGCATTATTCAGGCCTCTGAAGCTTTATCTCTATTTCTACTGGGTATTAATCATAAGACCCATACCTCATCATTCTGTTACTGTGCTCTGGTTCTTACTAAAATCACTACAGATCTCTACTTTTGATGAAGTTTACATATATGAACAGAGCTCTAGAAGTAGGCAAAATGGCTTCTAGATAAAATAAGGTGATAATTTTTATTTAAAAAAGAACTTATAAAATCTATCCTTTCTAATTAAGCTTTTCTCCAGTAACTTGGAAACTCTGGTACCTATTTGGAATGACTAGCTGAAGCTGGGGATTTTTTTCCCTTTTTCCTATATTTAAACCAAAACATGTATGACACTTTTTCAAAAACTTGATCTGATCTTCAAAGTTTTAATCATAAATGGAAAATTATATTCCAACTCAGTTTTCACTAACAGGAAGAAGGGATAGGGTACTGACAATATATACTTGTTGAAAACCTATAGTTTTCATGAAAAAAATTTCCATAAAGAAGTGTTATACTTACTCTTGAAGATCAGTTATAAGTTTTTCTTTTGCCTCAACTTCATCTCTCAAACTACTAATCTGTTTTTGATGAGTTTCCCTGTGACTTTGGATCTGCTGTTCAACAGCTTGCTATAATTTTGGGGGGGACAAAGAATATTAAAGTCAGGCTAATCAATTAATGAGGGATTAAAGTCATTACAATCGAATGTAACATTAAACTTGCCTTGACTTCATTTGCAGTCTGAACTTTATTTAAGTGCTCTTTTTCCATTTCATGGACCTTTTCTGTTTAGGCAGGAAAGAAAACAGAAGGTCAAAATATGCTTTAAGGTTTCTGTTTTAAAGCAAGGTACAAATATATCTTCACAGTAGCTTATTCCTTAGCAATGCTCTGCAAGCTCACACATACTTATTAAATTCTCTATACTGACATGAAAAGGAAATGCTTCTAAGGTCCCTATTTAAAATTTAGGTACAAGACAAAGATGTCTCTATCACCACTCCCATTCAATATAGTTCTGGAATCATTAGCTAGAGCCATTAGACAAGAGAAAGAAATAAAAGGAATAAGAATAGGTAAAGAAG